TCTGGAGATTAAGCAAGAGTTCCCAGTTTGAAAAATGTTGAAATCAGTGAAAACAGCATTATTTTGGTGCCTAGAAGTTCTCCTTAGACCAGGACTCACAGATGCCAGTGCAATACAAATGTGTCTGTTCAAGCATTTATCTGCAGGACTACTGCAAGGCAGAAGCTGACATGTTTCTTTTTGAAGTACAGCAGTCAGTAACTCCCTGCAGGAATACTTCTTCAACAAGAGCCCTGAAGGCTGTGGTTTTGGTAGGACAAATCTCTTGATACCCTGGTGTTATCCTCCTTTTCCTGGCTGTGCTATTCCAAGCACTTCCCTTTCATGGCTGTGATGCTTCTGAGTGAGGCAGTTCAGCTCTAACATCTAATGCATGAAGACCTCCAAAAAGTTTTTGGTCTGAAACAAATTGTCCTGGAGCCCATGAGATCAGGAGGACATGGGCAAAAAAGCAGGAGTGTATAGCTGGGAGGGGCAGGCCTGATTTTTGGCTAAAATGAAAAAAAATTAATCTGAAGGATACCAAGCAGACTAAAGCAGTCTTCCAGTATTGCTACAGAAAATATCATCCCATGGTCAAACTTCTTCCAGTTGCTACTTTGATACACAGATAATAGTGAAAAAACTTACCTGTCCTTTGACATTTAACCACTAATATTAAGCAAAATGAAGCATGAAAAAGTGCACGGAATTATGACCAGAAAACCTCACCTGCATTTTGCAGTGCTTACCAGGAAAACCTGGCTCAAAAAATCATTCAAGCAGAGAGTCTAAATACCTGGGGGAATAAGTGCTGCCCACAGCTGTGTTTTTGGAGCTCTCAAGAAAGAGCAACATTTGGGTTGTGCAGGTACCTCACACTAACTCTGTGACATGAAAGCCTGTGAGATCCTGAGTGCATGTAACAGGGGAAACAGTGCACATTGTAACAAAAAAATTGAGATGTAGATGTATAATGGTAGTATTGGTTGAACAGCTGTTCATTATATAGCATTTGTGATGTGTAGAGGAAAAAATATCCACTGTGTTACTCTTCTCCTTATTTTTCAGCTTTGAAGTGGTAAGGTCCTTACTCCCTCTCGTTTTGACATCCAAGTTCTTATCTTCTTCCTTTTCCACTCTGCTTGCATTCTTTTATTTTTCCTTTGCTTTCCATTGACTGCTTCCTCTCCTTTCTTTTCAATATTTTAAAGCAATAACGAGCGGCTGAGTATTAGAAACTTTAAAAAACATTGGACAGACTCTTCTCAGTCTGAGGGCTGGGTTATCTGTTAAGTCTTTTTGCTGCCTGTGCTGTTGTGGAACTTCAGCAGACCCTCTTCTTTTTTTTTATTTCAGAAACTTCTTGCTTTAATTCCACCGTGGAAGGACTTCAGTTGGCCACCAAGGATTTTAAAAGTGAGGGATAACCTGGAAGAAAGAAACCACTGTAGATTTTTTGGTATACATCTTTGGCCACCTCCCCCCAACACTGTCCCCCAGTATCAATCTCTCTGACCATGTAATAATGATCAAAATTGAGGTAACTTTGTGTATGGCAAAAGGTCATTTTCTGAAGCCATTTGGGATTTACACTATTTCAGTACATCCTCAAGTGTGGTATAGAGAGATTGAGAGTGGAGACCAGAGGCATCTGTCACTATGGGGTGTGAGCTTCAGGCTGTGGTATTTCACTCACTTGTATCAGGATCCAGGATAATGGCACAGAAGCAGCCAGTGATGCTCACCTGCAGGAAATGGTGCTTGTTTTGTCTTAGCTGCCTCCTTCTGCCTTCACCCTCTATCATAACTGCACCCATAGTTGCAAATTTACAACCTCAGATGGTAAACATCTTCATCTGTCCTTCTTATTCACTCAAACAGGGGTGCACGAGTTCCATTCTTTTCTCCTGAAACCAGCCTTTATGCTTCCCCTCAGTTAGACTCGTTTGGGAATTTGGGACTACAGAAACAAGAATATTTCACTATGGAACTTATTCAAACATGCTGAAGGAAGGGTGTGTATGGTTTGTGGTAGACTGAGAAGTATAATTAGTACTGGTAACCAGTGATTTGATGTTTCTGTTAGTGGTGTTGGAAATATTTATTAATGTAGAGATAAATCATAATTAATTATAAAGAGCAATCTCTGTCAATTATGAGGCATGCATAAGGCTGGACACTTCCTTGTAGGGAGAGGGAGTGACAGCTGTCACCTCATTTAACAATAAAAGTGTGAGAAAGGATTAAAGAGAAGCAGGAAACTTGGTTGTGTCTACTTGTCAGAAATAATATTTCCCACTTGTGTAGCTTGCAGATCCAGAATATTTCTCCATTTATTCTTTGATTTCCTCTTCCTCACCTTTCCTGCATTTGTTTATACATCAGCTGAAGAGCCAGGACTTGACTGAACTCAGGCTGAAGCTCCACCATGGTCAAATTTGCTGATCTGTCTCCATTTTCTACTTAAATACTGCATCTACATGAAAGCAGTTAACAATGTATGTATTTCTAAATTATTGTTGAACCACTGGCAAAATTTTCTGGCTGCATTGTTTGAATGCATCTCCCATGGACATGTGTGTATCTTCCTTGGCTGGAAAGGTCCTGCTCTCCTGCCAGCAGGACATTATATGAAATGTAAAGGAGAGGAGAAAGGGAGTTCATACCCCCTATAACCACAGCTTCAGACTTCTGTGTTGTACTAGTGGCAGCAGACAAGTTAGTTTGATTTCAGGAAAATGTCACTCAAGGATTAACACAGTCTTCCTACTTCTATTTATTGAGCAAGAAATCTGAATGGCTCTGTTTTCTGTTACTGAATCCTGGCCTTACAGAATGCTTGAAATAAAAATAGTTTTCAAAATCTCACAGTACTCTTGTATGGGCAAGTCATGTTTCATCTTTTAGTAGAGTGTTGCCAGTTTAAGTTTACTTTAACCCCCTATCTAAGAATTTCACATTTTCTGTCTCTTCTTTCCTGCCACATTTTCCCCACTTGCTTCAGTTAGCGTTGGTGTGCCATGTCTCCGGGGAGCAAGGCGTTCTCCCTGTGTGTGAACACTCTCTTTAGCACTTTTTGGAACCTCAGAACCTAAAGCTCCAGCATTGAGGTTTGGTGCTGGTGTTTGCCTGGGGCATACCTGGAGCTGGCTCCTAACCAAGCTGGGCATGATGCTGTGTGTAGCTCTGAGAAGGGATGGTGTGATACCACTCCAATTCTTTTTGGTTTTATTGCAAACTGTAATTTCTTTGGCTTCTTTGGTGAGCAAGTTAATGGAAAACAGGTTTTCTTTAGAGGAGAGAAATCTTTAAAACTTCCTTTACTTTCTCATATGATAATATGTTCGACGAAGAAGATAATTAAGGTGGTGTAGTGAGCGTGATGCACAGGATCATTTGTTCAGTGCTCGGCAGTTCTTTAGCTACATCCCCTTGGCCTCCTTGTTGCTTCTGTGTTGAAGAGGACTCCCGGTAGCTCGTTGCTAGGAAGGGATCGGGCAGCGAAGAAGTCTCCGTGCATACCTGGTGTCCTGTAACCAGCCCCACTTCTCTTTGGGGCTTTGATGATTCATTCCCTTTCGGCCCTGCCCTGTAGTTCGCAATATCGAGAGGCAGCACGTGGGACTGGAACGCTGTCAGGCTCCTGCCTTTGAGAAACTGAGGAATAAACCTGACTTTAAATAACTGGAGATGGTATCTCGGGCCAAAGTTCCGAGTCTGCGGCGAGTGCCGTAGCTGAGCGCTTTGGCTGTGCAGCCGCACACGCCCGTCCTTGCCCGTGTCTCCGCTCCCGGCCGCTTTCGCTTTCGCGGGACAAAGTCTGGGCCGCCGGGACATGGAGGGACGCGGGATCCCGCCCGGCCCCGCCCGCGGGGGCCGAGGGCGGCGGGGCCGGGGTCGCGGCGGGGGCCGGGGCCGGGGCCGGGCTGCGGAGCGGCTGCCCCGGGCCCCCGATCCCGGTCCGGTCCCGGCCCCCGGCCCCGGCGGGCCCGGCGCCGCGGAGGAGGGGCTGCTGCGGGCCCTGGGCGCGCTGAGCCTGCGGCCCCCGCGGGACGGAGGGAGGCTGGTGCTGCTGCGGGGGCTGCCGGGCGCCGGCAAGAGCACCCTGGCCAGGTAAGCGGGACCCGGACCTGGGCTCCGGGGCAGGAGGAGCGGCCGGGGCAAGCGGGGCAGCGCTGCGGGAGCGGCTGTGCCCGCCCGGCACTCGCTGCAGACCCGCCCGGACAGGGCACGGCTGGGGTCGGGGGGAGCGGAGCCCCGAGGGAGCCCCGGCTGATCGCAGCCGCCCGCAGCCCCCGGCTCCAGGCCCGCTCCAGGCTGCGCTGTCCCCGGCACCTGTGGCCGTGTCTGGGTGTCCTGCCCGAGGGACTGTGCGAGCTCCTGTTCCGAGCGAGTGGTACCTACAGGGATGCTTCTGGTGAGATGGACTGATCACTCCGACCAGGCTGGTACTTGTTCATTTTCTCAAATTGGTGGTGACTTTCTTTTTTAAATTTTTTTTTTTTGGTTGATTGGTTTTCTTTGGTTTTGTTGGGTTGATTGTTTTTGGGTTTTTTTGGTGATTTGGGGTTTTTTTGGTGATTTGGGGTTTTTTTTGGTGTTTAATCACGAACATGGTAAAAAACTTCCTCTCTCTGGCTGCAAATTGGCAATTCTGACTTCTGTTTTTGTAATGTCCCGCACTCCTGGTCAGAGCTTTACCAGTGTATAAAATGTGTAGAGTAGACCACTCCATGCTCCAACACCTCAAAGGCTGATTGTAAATAGGTGGAAAAACACAGTGGGGCATGCTGGGAAGCAGCACTCCAGTCAATGTGACTGTGCAGCTGCAGTTTGGTATCAAAATATCACAGTCTGGTATCACACAGCTCCCAGTGCCACCCACTCCCTATCAAAAGAGGAACGTTCCGTCTTCTTACTCTGCTGGGCTGAGGAACCCGTGCTGGGATCATGGGCTGCCACAGGAAGGGCTCTGCTGTGAGAGGTGTGTGACACACTGGGTTCATCTACAGTTTCCTCTTCTCAGTACAGCACTTCCCTGTCCCACTGGGCCTTCTGCCTCACTGCACTTTGGAAAACAAATTTATTTGATGAATTGCCAAATGCCGTGTTTTGCTCACACCCAAAAACCACACCCCTCCCTTAAGAGGCCGTGTAAGTTGTGGGCCTGCTCCTTCAGGGGGATTTGGGTCTTCTCATAGCACAGTAAGAACATGAAGGTTTGGGGCCATGTTCTCAGGCAGTGCAAGTAACTGTACTTACCTGTACTTTTTAGGTCAAAACACAGGGTTAATTGTTAATGACACATTTACAAAATCAGTTGTAAGTGTTGTTGTAGTAGTCCTCTGTGAGATGAAGGTTTGAGTATCTTACTGCTTCTAGCCCCTCTTAATGGAATAATTATGTTTAGCTGTTCAGCAACACACTGAACAAAAAGATCAAAAAGCAGCATTTAGTACCTCTCCTTAACCCTGTCCAGCTTGTGAAGGATTGTACCAAGAGAATTCTTTTGCTGTTCTCACACTGCATAGCTTTTGGTATTGGTAAATGCTATGTGCTGCACAAGGGCAAGTTTGCAAAAAATGACTGCAACAGATCTCAGTGCAAGAGTCCACTGAAGGAGGAAGGTGGTTGTTTATTTGCAAAAGTACTCTGTAAACTCATTTTATAAATTCAAGTTTATTTTCTCAGATTTTAGTCACTCACAATATCACAACTTAATACTTGCAAGCATCAAGAAGAATGTGCTCAGGTGGTCTGCCCAAAATCAGAGCAGACAAGGACCATAAGCTGTCCCATCCTCGGTTTCTCTGCTGGGTTGCTCTCAGTTGGTGGTGGCAGGGTAGGTTTTGGCCAGGTCTGCTGTGCTGTCTCCACCCAACAGCTCCTATAATGCCATTTTTTTCCCTGTGAATTCTGCTTACTTGGTGCTTTATGAATCTTAGGTGGTTTTTTTTCCCCATTATATTCATTTTCCCATGTCTTCATCATCTGCCACTCTTGGAGCAAGGGGAAGGAAGCAGGTGTGGAGAGACTGGTGTGACCTACTGTCCATCCTCCTGCTCTCAGAGCAAGGGTTTTCCTGTGGCAGGTCACCAGTGCTGGGCCTCAGATGAGTGCTGGCCTTGAGGGGCTGTAAACAGGACCTATCCCAGTTTTATTGCTGTTAATGATCTTGGCTGTCAGTGGGTACCATTGTTTTAACCTTTGCTCTGTTCTTTCTTCTGGTGCTTTCACACATATCTACATTAATTCTTTCTGCAGATCAGCCAGTATTTCTGTGTTTCTGTCCCAAACTCTACATCTTTAGGGTGCTCATGAGTCACAAACCATGAATGTTATCAGTGGTGATACAGCAACCCAGTGATAACTCCACTCAAAAGGCCCCATTTCTATTCATCACACAGTCCTAGGAACACCCTGGGATCCATGGCTTGTTTCCTTGACCTCTCAATGTCACTCAGCAAAGTTTGGATACAGCTTTGTAAGCTTTAGTTATGGCACTTCTGTTAAAATGATTTCCTCATCCTGATTGCTCCCAGCTCACAGCAGCCCTACACTGGCAGGGATCAGTTCAGGTCTGGTTTTTGGTTTCTGGTAAAGACAGCGGAGGACCCACGTGTGATATACTGAGTAGTCAAGCCAGGATGAGGAGTTGGTCTGCTCACCACCAAGCTTCACACCTTTCCAGCAGCTTCACTGTTAAGGATGAGCTTCCCTGAACCACATATTTTAGGTGGCCCCAGCTACCTGCCTTTAACCTTTCACCAGATGTCACGGAACTGTGAAGGAGAGTCACAGCTGGGAGTCACATCTCCATCAGCCCCCTTCAGGTGTGCTGGACATGCTCCTCCTGAACACATTGTCCTTGACTTCACAGTGCAGGTTTGTGATCACACTGAGGCAGCTGCTAAGAAAAAGGTTATCTGAGGTGCAGTGGCAGCTATACTTCCGAAAATGCCTCCAGAATTTAAGTGAGCCACATACAAGCTCATACCTGCTTGCCCAGCAAACTCTGCATTGCACAGTAGCTGCATTTCCAGCCCTTTGGCAGCCAGCACATTGCTGTGCTGCACAGCTCAGCTTACACCTGACCCTTTATCCGACAGTTTAACTCAAGCTCCATAGGCTGGGCATGATCAAACTTGTAACTTTTCAGCCACAGCTGTAGATTTATTTCTCAAAATGAGTTTGTTCTAGTACTCCCTTGTGAAGCACAGAACGAGTAATCTTTCAGAACAGGAGGAGAAAAAATGCCCTGGCACTGAGGCATCACTGCTTGGCACAATCTGTGTCTTCTCCATTCTCTCTGCTGCTGTTGCCCGGTTTATCCCAGCACCTCCAGTCCTGGGCCAGCTGTTCCCAGCGTTCCCAGCACCCGACCCCGCTGCAACTCTGCGGCTCTGACGGGTTCATGGCCTTAAGCTCTTGCAGCTCCTGCCTCCACGCAGCATTGCACTGTAAACATTTACCTTTGCCTGAAACCACTTCAGGTGAGTCTCCTGAGTGCCTTGATCAAACAGGACTCGAGCCTGGTGCTTTAGGAGACCGAGCCGTGGTTGGACCCTCCCGAGGGTGAGACACAAAGGCACGGCTGCGCTCTGCCTGCAGCACCTGGCAGCTCAGCCAGGCAAAGCCCTCGGGGCACCTGGATTGTTCAAACGCAATAGACAGTGGCAAGTGCTGGGCATTGCCACTCCAGATCTCACAGTCCTGCTTTCCTGCTGGAGCAAAAGGCTTTTAGACACCTTTGAAATGCCACTCTCTAACGTTTGGAAGAGTGTCCAGAGGAAGTGGTTGCATATGGTGCCAGTACATACATGTTCTGGTCTCTGATATTCCATTCCGTGGCCTTCTGAGCACTGAAAATGTTTATTCCAGTCTGCTATCAGAAATTAATTTATTTTCAAGTTTTCTGATGGAAAAGTATGATAACCTATGGATACAAAATGCATTATGCTCTACCTTTTGCTAAGTAAAAGTTTTCTGCTGTTTCAGAAACTACAGAGGATAAGAAAGTAAGAAGAGAACGAGGGACGTTTCCTCTGCTTAAAATAAACCTCCTTACACCCCTTTCTCCTCACCCCTCTACAAGGTGAAGTAGGTACCATATCCACTCCAAGATGAAGACATGTAGTACTGTGCAATTATGTGTCCAAAACAATCAATACTGAACTTTTCACAGATGCTGCCTGTCACAATGCAGTGCTTCCAATTCAGTGGCTTCTTTAAAAAATGCAAACATAGCTCCTATGTGTCCTTTGATCTTGCAAAGACATTTGCAAAGCATTTTTCTTTTCCTCCTTTGTAAGCTTACTGTGTAAGTGTGCTTATCTATCAGCAGTGGGTAATTTTCTTTTTACAGGGCAGTTCAAGATTTATTCATAAATAACTGTGGTCACAAGCTCTCCCATTTTGCATAGCTGGTTTGTATTTTTCTAAAATACAGGTATTTTAATTGCTTCCAGTGATTAAGAGCATGATGTGATTATGCAGGACCTTTCTTCTAAGCTAACCTGAGGTCCTGTGAAGATTGTGAAAGGCTCATTTAGTAGGGACCACATGAAAGAGTTCTTGGTGCTCTCTGGAATGATAAGGGAGAGAAGAAATAGGAGTTTTGTCAGCTTTGTGGGCAATATGGAAGGGATTACAGAAAAGAGCTGCCAACTTCAGCAACAGTTTGGTTGTTTTGGAAAGCTAAAAGTTAAAACCAGCAATATAAACAGAAGGTAAACCATCTTTTAAACACCTCATGTTTTCTTATGTTGCTGTTAGCAGGAGCTCATTTGGTATGAATATAGCAAATGTTACAGTAATTCATAGCTCTCAGCCCATTTTGTCCCATATTTTTCCTCCTTTGAAACACAAGTTTTATCTACTTTAATTATTGATGTGAGGACCATAGACTTACAGGTATTCACCTACAGTTTAGATTGTTTAAGGGTTAATATCAAAGCCCTCAGGGCTGAAAATTCAGTAAGGTATGTGCCAAGAAAATGGATTTTAAAATTAGCACTAGTTAAGAACATTTTAAAAAGAAATACTGAGCAAGAAAAAAAAATTAGTCTTGAGATCTTTTATTAATGTGCACATTTTATGTCCCTATTAGTAGCCAAAGGGAAAACACATAGTTTAGCAGTCAGTTTTTTAGAGAAGAAATTGCAATGAGTAAAGCAGTGAGGGAAAGGTGAGGTGCTGAATCATAGGGAGACCTGAATATATCTGGTTATCCACAGCAGTAACCAGATAAGTAATAGATGCTGCTTTGCTTTTCATAATAATAATTTGGCCTGAGGCCAAAATTAAAGCAACAAAATTTTACTGTATGCCAACAGTTTAAAACATGATTTTTCTTAAATCAGTTTGCCCAGCAGTAATTTTGTGAATAAAACATCCCTCTGGGGCTAGAAGACAAGGACAGGTAGGTGCTGGAATGATGCATTACAGGGGATTCAGCCCAGTCCTGGCTCCATCAGCACTGAGTCACTGCTGGCTGGGGTGGACCCCACCACAAAATAACATTAATTAATCAGCAGATGGTAGAAGTTACAGTAAAACCAGTGGAGACAGAGCAAAGCCAGAAGCTGACCTTTATTCAGCTAAATGCACCCTGCAGTCCTAGTGAAGAGCTGCTGCTTGCAGGCAGATTAGGGTACAACTGGTAAGTAAATGGTTGGAGTGTCTGGGTGACAGAATTAAGGTTTTTCTGTCTGTGTGCCTGTTCTGCTGCTGATAACCTGGAGACACCTTTTGCCTTGCTCTTGCCCATGCAGATAAGACATTGAGAAATGGTTATTTTGCAGCTTGTGGGGATGGAGGGAGAAGTGTTTATTAGGAAAGCTGAAATGAGTCACAGGGGCTGGAGACCATGTGTGGTGTGAGACAGCAGGGCAGCAGCATTCATGTCTGAGAGATACAGGGTTTCTTGACTGACCTTTTTTTCTTTTCCTAAGACATTCTGGGCCTTGGGGAGACAGGAGATAGAGGGATGATGCCATGGGCTCTCCCTGACTTCTTGTAGAGACTCTCTCCTCCCCCAACTTATCTCTGATTGATTAAAAAAAAAAGGACAATTCTATATCTATGGACACAAAAATTTCTGGATTAGACACAAATGGGAACACAGTCATACATTAAGAGTTGTTTTGGTTTTTTTGTTTTGTTTTGTTTTTGTTTTTTGTTTTTTTGTGGTCTCTAAGGACTGGCAGAGGGATGCTTCACATTTAAACCTCCACACAAGGCAGCACTTCCTTCCACCTCCAAGAGCCAATAGCTGCCTGTGAGGCAGCTGGTTAGTGTCCAGCAGGACACACATTTGCTCCCCATGGCATCCCCAGCCTGCAGGAGCACTGCTGGGGGACACACACCCATGTGAAGGGAAGTGGGATTGCCCAGTGCCACTCACCACAGCAGTCTGCTTTATGGATCTGCAAATTTGTCTATAAAATATTTTTTATAAACTCAGATTTGTTTACAAAATTAGCTTAAAAGCTGAAGAGATAAAAATTACTCAGTCTACAAGAGGAGGTTTAAGTGGAGGAGGGACAAGTGATAAGAGCCATAAAATTATATAAATTAACACAAAATATTGATTTATCATTCAAATACTTTTTTGCAAATTAAAATTCTAAATAAGTGCTACCTGCTTTACAGCCAAAAAAAAACCCCTCAAACCAAACTCACGGTTCTCTGGACCATCTTTACTAAATAACAAATCCTTCCTCCTGGTTTTCTTCAGAAATCTCTGAAGATAACAAAATTCCCATCACCAAATTGTCTTCTGACACCACCTTCTATGCCTGGATAAGCAGGTTTGGACTACTGGTTTTGGGTTTTTTTCCCTTCTCTTTACAGTCCTGCTTTCTCAGGTAGCTCAGAAGGAGAGCTGAATATATTAATAAGATTAAAGACTCAGATGTTGGTAGTCCAGTGTAGATTTCTCTGCTGAATTAAAGAAATCAAGGCCACGCCTTCAAGCTCCATTCCTTTTTTCCTACGTGTCCATCTACTGATTGCAGTACTTCCAGATCCTTTAAATTGGGATTTTTCAAATGAAGCACTGTGTGTATTTGCAGAGCACTCAAATAGCTCATGGCTTACTGGTCTCTGTTAAAGGCTGTTACCAGGTACTAATTCCTCTTTCATCTTTTACTTTTCCTTGCAGACAGCTGAAACGTGACAACCCCACTGCTGTAGTCCTTAGTACTGATGACTTCTTTATTGAAAATGGTGTCTACGTCTTTGAGCCTGACTTCCTAGAGGATGCACACAAGTGGAACCAGAAAAGAGGTGACTGAACTTTATCCAGGGGCTGTGCAAAATAGTTTTGCATTTCAGGCTGTCTTTAAACTTAGCCCCCAGATTAAAATACCTCAAGGTGGTGTCATACACTGTAGTTCATGGGGCATTGGCTAAAAAATACATTTACCACTTCTGATTTGATTTCTTCTGTCTTTTATAAAAGGGAAATTTGTAAATGAAAGCATTTTGGAGGTTGGTTAATATTATTTTAGATGAGGCACTGCTGAATCTTGATGCCCTTCAGACACCAGCCCAGCAGCTGCTCCCTGCAGTATAGGCACTGCAGCCTTCTCCTCTAACTTCTTAGGTGTCTGTCCTGACCTGGAAGGGGGTGAGAATATAATGATAGACAGGAAGAAAACTTGCAGGCTGAGTTTAAGTTTGAGAATTAAACAACCCAGGTCTTTACTCAATGTATCATGCTTTTGTGGCTGTGCTCTGAAGGAGTTTGTAGGGATGGTGATGAGATCTCATATTTTGAGATGATGTAACACGGATCTCCTGCAAATGACAGTAATTTTTGGCTGTTTTAAGTATGTTCTCCAGAGGCTGCACCATCTCTTCCAGGAGAGCTGCTGGGCACTGGAATCGGCTCCCATTTGGGTGGTAGCTGCAAACCCAGGTCTGGTGGGGAACCAATTGTGTGAGAGTGGGCAAAGAAAAAGCACTCTGGGGCTAGTAAGGCCTGGCTCTGTTATTTAATGTATTTTAGCTTTACTTAATGTGTTACATTGCAGCACGCAAAGCAATGAAGAAAGGGAAAAGCCCGGTTATTATTGATAACACCAACATCCACGCTTGGGAAATGAAGCCATATGTGATGATGGTAGGGAAAGCTCTGATTTATTGCTTTTGTATGCCTAGCTGTGACATATACAGGTTGATCTGACTGAAAAGGTTCATTACATGGCTAAAAATATTTACTTCAGTTTTCTCATAGTTCTCTAATTATAGTAAAGGATGGATAATGTGATGAAGTAGGGGCAGAGGTGCCAATGTAGTTATTTAGCTGGTCAGCTTTGTAACTCAGTGAAGGCAAAACCACTTAAAAAGATTAATGGCCTTTGAACCTGCTACTTCTTGGTGATGAGGCCATCATACCCTTCCCCAGTCATGACTAGAATGGAACAGTTCCCAAACTATTTGTTGATAAATATATCAAGATATGGTTTATAATTGTAGTTCATTACTTGTGAAATACACACCATACAGAGTCTTTGAAAAGGCATTGGTGTCTCTTGTCAGGAGTTCTGGCAATTCTTTTAGTGCAGTTTCATAATGTCATCTTTGTGTCCTTTAGGCACATGAAAATAGATATGAAGTTACATTCCAAGAACCAGATACACCCTGGAAGTTCAATGTTCAAGAGCTGACAAGGTACATAGTTTTCTCTTTGCTGGAACAGGCAGCTTCTCTCATTTTGTTGACATGCTCTCAGGTCAGCCTTCTTCCTCTTCATATAAGGAAGAATGTAGCCTGGTAAATGCCAACAGAAGGATTGTTGTGGGAAATTTTCATTACTGAGTACCTGGTCTGTAGTGAATTCAGCCCTGAAAGAGCCTGAAGTGAGTCAGGCAGTAGAAAAGGCAACAAGCCCTGAAGCATGTTTTTGTGCTGCAAGTTTGATGGGGGAGGACCTCTAATTTTCATTCTGTATTTTGAGCAGCAGTCTCTTTTGTTTGGGCACAAACTCAAATCTAAGCACCATAGCAAATATTGAGACTTCTGTCCTTAAGAATCTAAGCATAACAGATGCTGTCCTGCTGCAGCATGGAGGGATGGTACATCAGGTGTGGGTAAGAAATGGGGTTCTAGAGGATCTTTGTAAAGATCTTAACACACACACACAAAGGATAAAAACACTCTGCACAGTGTGGTAGGATGTAGAGGCAGCTGAATGTGGCTCTCAGGATGTTATGTTGACCAATGACTGCAGGGTTAATGGCTGTAGTCACTGAAAAATTTAGTGCAGGCTGACTTCCTAGCCTTGAGCCAGCCTGATGTGAGTTACAGAGAGCAGTGCTCTCCCAGCTACCAAATCCAGAAGATAACATATGCTAACTTAGGGCAAGATAACAAGGCATGGGCACTTCATTGCAACGGAAGGATTTGTTTTCTACCAGCCAGGAGCTCTAGTCAAAAATTAATGCTGCTCCTGTCTGTGTGTGGTGGACACAAATGGCAGAGGGCCAAGGCCCAGAGTGCTCATGGCTGCAGGGGGAGGCAGGACATGGCAGATGATGGCTCAGGCCTGGGGATGGGTGAGGACACCACCAGCCTGAGCTGTCAGCCAGCTCTGGCCTCAGTAGCACCAGCCATTGGTAGGGGAACACTGCAGGGACACAGTCTGATCATTTGTTGTAGGCAGAGCTACTCAGTAACAAACTTGCAGTTTGTTTTATTGCATATTTGACCCTCATTGACTTTTCACAGCAGCATTATAAAGATAATTCACATACACTCACTGGGGCACAAGCTGCACCTTAACAGCACTAAATGGCAACCCCAGAGATACTCGGGGTTTGCAAACTCACAAACAGAAATTCCTGGTGGTCTTTGGGAAGACAATTCCTGCTAACTTGTGGAGGGCTCATGGCTGGTGCTACTGTGGCTACTCTGTCCAGAAAGCCCTGCATGTCTGAGCATTGTTCCCCTCCCTCTCAAACTTGTCATTTATGAGTCTGCCTTGGAGCCTGAGCCACATCATGTGTGATGTCTCCCTACTTGCTCTCAAAGCACAGCAGTTTGTGAGCTCTGTCCTTGCTGCTGCTCAGTGTCTGGGCTGGCTGCAGCCCTTGGCTGCCTGTCTCCAGCTGTACAGAAGCTCACTGAGGCCAACAAGCTGTTAGTGCTGAAACACAGCAACACTCGTATAAAATACACACAGGTCTTCTACACAACTCTTATTTTGAACATTTGTCAAATCCCTATGTCCCATCTGCCTCCCAAAAATAATGGTGTTACATTTTTCAGCAGTCACAATAATGTTCCTAAGAAGTAGGTGGAAGTGAACAGTAATTTGTAAGAAGAGGCCAGAAAGAGATCAGTGGAGACCTGAACCATTATGCTGAACCTATCAGGGACTTCAGCAAACTGAAGGTAACCCCTCATACACAGGCAGCTAAATACTTGTGTTTTCTGTTACTTTTCACTCCACAGAAGAAATATTCATCATGTCCCTCGGGAAAAGATACAACGGATGAAAGAACAATATGAGCATAATGTCACCTTCCACAGTGTTCTCCGGTCTGAAAAACCAAGCAGGGATGAGGGAAGCTACAGTGGAGCAAGTGCAGCTTATGGGACAGGTCCCCATCCCACCCACCTTCCTGCCTTCCCAAGGAGGAGACCGGGCATGGCACGTACCAATGTGACATTTAACTGAAGCTGTGCATTCCTTGGTGTTTTAATTATCAGGGTACAAGAGCCTCTAGTTTTACATTTTTTTCTAAACTGTTTTTTATTTTTGTGTTTTTCTACTAAATTCCTAAATTACTTTCTTACAAATCGTTAAATGGCATTGGACCGTGATCTCACAGCTCTACATCAACACTGTAAGAGCACTGTACTCAGTACAATCTGTACTTTTGTCTCATCCCTCTTCCTCCATGAAAATCCATCCAGGCATATGTGAAATGTACTGGGCTCTACCACATGCCACATTTTGGGTATTTTTTTCTGCATCACAGTCTGACACTAGCAGTAAACATTCCTAACTTATTTCTGTCTTAAGGCCATTGTGGCCAATTCTTTCCCCACACAATTGGTATTTCTTGCCATTTTAATGCTTTATATCTGACTGTATAAACTTTTTGTATCTACTACTTGCCTACAGCATTATTGTAACTTTCAGAAGCAAAGTGAATGATGGTAGCTCAACAGATTTTAGCAAGATCTGATGCTGTTCCCTCTCTCCACTGACTGGATTCATGCTGCTCTTACCTTAAACACAAACAGCTTCTCCAGCCTGCAAGCAAAACACTTCAACGAAGCAAACTTAGCTCTTCATCTTGCCAAGACATAGGAGTTCACTGATCCCAAGATGGAGAGGCTCCTAAAATGAAACATTAGTGTTAGGCTTGTGCTTGTTAACTCCTAAGTGGGAACAGGGCTACAGGAGCAGTTCTGAACAGCTGAAGCAGAAACACAGACCAAGGAGCTATTTAATAATAACTCTGCATGGCATTTTGCTGTGAATCAAATAATCATAGCTGTTCTTTAAACCTCCCTTAGTGCTATATGGAAAGTCTGAGGAGAAAAGTACAAGAACTGTGCCAGAATAGCAGAGCAACATTTCAGAATTAAAGTGTTCTGTTTGCTGAAAATAAGAGAACTCTTTATTATGTCCTGTGCCACTTTGGACAGCCAAACAACTATTCTAATGTTGCAGAGGGTAACAAAACTGATGGCTTTAGACTGAAACAAAGATCCTGCTGTAATGTAAGAACACAGAATCAATGGCTTACAAAATGTCATCAAACCCTCAGCCACACTGATGTTATTGTACAATACATCTTTGTGAGAAGTGTTTACATACGAAACTTCAAACTATTTTGCAAATGAAGTGTTATTTAATAAATCTGTTTTTGTAATAGAACTTTATTAAATACAATCAAGTTTTAATGTACAAAGTGTAAAAATAATTTGAATTTGAAATATATACAATACTGTACATGTGCATTAGCAGCATTTTTGGGATTTTGGACTTTGTAGCATTCTGTGGGCTGGTAATGAGTCCTCAGGTTCCTTTGGGTTCTTCTGAAGAGCCTCAGCTACTTCAGAACTGCTTTTGATGAGTTATTTGCTTCCCCAGTAGACCTGGAACTATTTCTGGAGGACAGATCATCAGATAAAGTAGTAGCTGTTGCATTTCTGTTTTCATTTACATAATCCAGCTTATTTTCTTCTGGTAAATTATTCAGGAGTGCTTGTGTATTAATCATTGCCAGTTCTTCATCAGCAACCAGGTCATTCTCAGGAAGATGGACAGTCTCTCTCACTTTTCTGCAAGGGGTGACAAGGCCAATATTCTGATCTGTCCCCTTAGGTGACTTGCTGTGCTGTAACCCCAAACTTCGTGGAGGCTGAAATGCTCTTTTAACAGATGGAGAAACTATTGAACATATTGGTGTCAGTGGTGGAGGGGCAGGTATGCAACTGAGGAAGTCCATAGCTTTTCTCTTTTTGCTGGTTTTGAGATAGTTTTCATTAACTGTAGCAGGTGAAGGTGTTTTTGCTGAACCTGGTGTGACAAGTTCTATATTTGGTGTGCTAGTTGACAAAGGGCTTGGATGCTTCATTTCAATTCTAGAAGAGATCTGGGTAGAAAGAGAAGTTTTATGTTGAATAGAATGTTCTCATAAACTTCCTCAAAAACGTGCAAAAAATGGGGGAACCCCTCCACCCCTCCCAATATAAAAACACTACATCATCATTCATATCCCATTTAAGTTAAGTTTGGTATCTCCTGATGGTGATTAATATTATTCCTTCAAGTGCTGATGACTGATAAGTCACTCTTTATCTGTACATTTACATTTTGTTTCTAAGAGCTAAGCAAAATGTATGGGAATTTTTCTATGGCAGATGGTAAGAAATCAAAGCACTCATAAGTCTTCTACTGCCTTGGCCATGTTCTCCACACATGCTTGGTGGTTAAATAAGTAAAAAGGAGAAAAAAATTTTAAGAAAAATCAGGATAGAACATAGACCAAAAAATTTGAAGATAATACACACAAGAGAGATGCTGCATAGCAAATCTTTCAAGCACAGGCCTGAGAAAACACTTGATGTCTCATTTTTAAAAGATGATTAATGTATTTAATAAACTATACAAATATAAACTAGTTAGTCTATAAAATATATAAACTAAACCTTCAGAATTAAACATTAGCCCTCTCTTTGAAATAGAAAAGGATGCCTTACAAATTTAAACTTGGTCCCCAGGAACTGATACCACACCAGGGTGTTTCCACCTCCCTTGCAACTCATGGCAGGAAAAATTTTTGTTCTGACTGTGCTCAGTATTCCATGTCAGAAGCAACTCACCACCAGCAGCTTTCATGGGAAACTTGAGTACTATTTAAATCAATTTTTGTCAAGACTGCTAAAATACATTTTCCAGGTGACATCCCTATTAAATCCTAGAAATAGTAAACACTGTCTATAAAAAGACCAGGAAGTAAATTCTCTCAACAAAGGTGGGAACTGCAGAATGCCTTGAAAGAAAAATGAATGTACAGATCAAGATTTTTCCCTTCTGTGAAATTCACACTGGATAATCTTCACAGTGGGACCAAAGAAGCACTAGATCATCTATAAAGAAAGATGATTCATTTTACTCACATCAATTCAAAATACTTAAAGTATGTTGTGGAAACACAGGCCACAAGGGGAAGTTTTCACACAGTGTATGGAGGAAGGATAATCTATCTCATGGCTCCTCTGGGGAATAATCCTAAACCCCCCCCCCCACAGAAAGCTTCTAATCAGCTTGCATTGCCCTAAAAAGACTGGATGACATGGACACAGAAGTGAGACCATTCAGCACTTGCTTAAATCCTTACTGCATGTACTGCCAGTATAAACACAGCAATTATTACCAGAAGCTTACCAAACTTCTATCCTCTGCATGGCTGCAGGAAGGAGAGGGGCTTTCCAAACCACATCTTTTAGGTAAACTGGGTGTCAGCAAGAGATTTCTTCCTAGCAAATTCATCAGTTTACTTTCTGCATCAGAGCAAAAGGAGGGCACATTCTGTAAGGGAGAACAACAGAGTTTGCAATGCAGAATAGTTGGCTTTCAAACTATATATGGACCACACACACTACATTTAAGACTTTTCTTTTTTCATCATTATCCCACCAGAATTTTATATCAAATCAAAAACACAGAAGATTCCTGCACTTTCTGTCCATGGCAGATTCCCTATTGACAGGTACGAGATCTTTTGCCACTCAGAGATTCTGTGGCACATCACGACTCATCTGCTGGATGAGTTGGAAAATAAAAAAAATCAAGACATTCAATTCCCCAGGAAAATTGCATTAACATCTTACTTTGTCTCCCAGAAAATTCTCCTCAAATTCAGCATTATGTGCATTACTTGTTTTAAAGGTTTATCAATACTAACAGACTTTTTGCTGAAGGATATAACATAGCAGTAGCTAAAAGTAACCATCAAATGACACTTCTACAGGTTTACCTCTATCACACTTCTCAGTTCATTAACCTTCTCCTGAAGATAGCATTCCTTTGGACTGGCTGAAAATAAAGAAAGATCTCCAGCCAACAGCATGGGAATTTCTGATCTGAATTCAGACTGCCACTGAAGGTTGCTTGCAGAAATGAGTGAGCAGCGGACAACTACATCTTCAATGGCCAAGTGTCTGAGATCTGTCCAGATCTTTACTGCCACTAAATTATAGCTTTCATCAGACAAGTATACCACAGTAGTGAAACCTAAAAGCAGGAAAAAAGTCTGAATTAAACCTTTACATCTCTTTAAGTGATTTGGATCTACTAAATAAATTCACACGCATCTTGAAAGAGCTACATGGCAGCCCATCTGCATGGTGACAGGTATCTCATACTTCTTTCGTATTCTACACCATCTCCCTACTGATTACATGAAACAACTCAAAGTCTGTGTCTTTAAAAACAATCCTATAGAACTTTTTCTTTTCACCTAGAAGATTATCCACCTCTCCCTCTCCATGAGTCCAGTGCCTGAATTCCACTCATTCCATGACACTGTACACCAAAGAGGGAGTTCATGTACATGCACGATGGTGTTTCTGCAGATGCTGAACACAGATGTGAGAACTTAGGCTCACCATTTATAGAAAATAAATAAATAAAAACCATTTAAATATAAGCTGCTTTTGGGCTTAGATCCTGCCTTACTAACTTCCTGAGCTAATAAGCAGAGAGTTTTTCTTCAGAAATACAAATTTATTTGCCAGCATGTCACTGCAATGGCCAGTATTTAGGAGCTTTTCACAGGCCTGAGATGCAGGTACAACAAGATAACTCTGACTTTTGAAATCAAGAATTCAGTGCTTATTCAGTGGGAGGACATGAATGTGGTCCACAACGTACCTGTTCTGCTAACAGAAATGACAACTCCAACTAAATCCACTTCAGCACACGGTGGCTGAAAAGAAGGATCCAACAAACTGGTGAATTCTAGAGCCTTTCTTGGAAAGAAAATCTGTACCATCATCTTCTGTGATACCTGATGAAACACAAAACTTCAGTATTTACCACACTTGGAGAGTGTGACACATTTTAATGATGCACCTGTATGCACTTAAAGCACTTACTGCTAGCTGTAGGTACTGAGTTTTCTTGGTGGCTGTTAACTGGATGTGGGTGGAGTCTGCCCTGCCCCTGGGCTGGGATGCTGACAGCTGGAAAATCCTGTAGCGAGCGCCTTCCTTCAGCAAGGAACACACGTCAGGCAGCGGGCGCCAGATACTCAGCACTGCTCCTGACAACAGCACAGTAAGCTCAGTCACCTGCTCAGTCATACCCTGAAGGCTTTTTAAACAAAATAAATCTACAGCACTCCCTCCTATCCAAAAGCCTTAAACCAAGAATCAAACCGGAAATATTAACATGGAAGCTAAAATACTGTTGGGAAACTCTTCAAATCTACCTATGCTGGCCAGTTACCACATTTAGTTAAAAGTTATAAATAATTTTTCAAGCACTGACCTTTATGTTTTTCTTGCTTTCTGTAGTCTACCACATATAATCTCCATACTGCAGACACATCCCTTTTGTAACAACCATTTTCTTCTTGTTCTGCTGACTCTAAAGCCTTCTTGAATTGTTCCTGCATCTGAGTTTGTTTTTTGTCATTCATCAGCTGTCTGTAAGCCTTCAAGGCTTTTAATTGGTCATCACTTAGATATCCCTGCAACCAAGAGAAGTGGAACTCAGTATCTTTTTTCTTAATCAAAAAACCACAAGAGTTTTAGATAGCCTCTTTCTTGACTGTTCATCTGTTAGAAGCAATTAATTTCCAGCTGATGCACTACTTGGACTTGAAATGAGGTATATTAAAACAACAGGAGGCAGCAGTGGTACTGCTGGTACTCAGCTGGTGCTCTCTGGTCTGTGCAGAGATTACACTACACACTGTTCCTTCCTGACAACTAGTGAGAAGCCTGCTTGAGAGTGTGTAAGTAAGGGGAATATTTAATATAACAGGTAGGCTTGCCTGTTTCATATGAAGACATGTTAGGAAAAATTTCTGGAAGAATAAAGGAAGAGTTGCACTTCTCTTCAGGCTGCTGTCTCTGAGCTGACACAGTGATTTACACTAAAATGCATCAAACACATCACTTTACTGACCAATACTTCAAGACCCAGATTTCTGTAGATGCAGCTCCAGAGACATAGCTACCATTTCATCAAATATGACAGACAAGGATCCTCACTTGCAAAAGGCAAGGCATGTATTTAATTTTTTAATAACTTGCAGGGACTAATCACCTCTGTCTTTATTAGTAAAGGCATAAACTCTTAAAAGTTGTGATTTAACTGGGAACAGGGAATGAAGACAACAAAGACAATATAATTATCCAAACAATTCAGTGAACAGCATGCAAGAGTATGTGTATGAAACTCTAGATTGATGAGATGCATTAAGTTTTTGTATATGC